CACCGCGCTCAGCCAGTGAGCGGGAACCGGTCTCCACATGGGATCCGAACCCTCGGCGGGAGCGCCACCGTGCTCCCAAGCGGCGCACTCTCCAGTGAGCCACCGGGCCGGCCCTTATTTTTTGTTTTGCTAGAGTACATAATCCAGTAATTATTTCAGATAGCATTTGTTGGAAATAAACTCTCTGAACACTTGGCATGACCAGAAGCAGTGTTTGTGTTTCCTCCCCACGGAGCAGGCTCTTAGGCTCGGTGTGGAATTATAGGCTCAAATAATCTTCCCTCCGAACCAGGAAGGTGCCTCTTCATTGTTTTTAAATCCCAAGTGGCCAATGTCTGATGTCAGGCTTTTTCTCTTTTTCGTTTTTTTGGAGGTAACTTTTCCCCCCACTGGGAACTTGTATCTTTCTTCTCTGTGTTCTAACATGTTGTCATGGGGAGCACTTCTCCGACTGTCGGATGGTGTTTCCCAGGTCAATCCTCACATCTGGCTCCCAATAAACTTTGCAAAATTATGAAATAAAACAAAATAAAATAAAGTGTGTGTTCTTCAGCCCTGGACAGTTTTAAGTATCATTATTATTATTATTATTATTGGTAGTAGTATATTATTATTTCCTTAAGCATTCCCTCCCTTCTGTTCTTTCTACTTTGGAATTCCATTTAAATGGATATAGCGGGGCCGGCCCGGTGGTGCACTGCTACAGTGCGCCGCTTGGGAGCGTGGCGACGCTCCCGCCGAGGGTTCGGATCCCACATACAGACCGGTTCCCGCTCACTGGCTGAGCGAGGTGCGGGCGCAGCACCGAGGGTTGTGATCCCGTTGCCGGTCCTGGTCCGGTACGGGGGCAACACTGAGGGTTGCGATCCGTTGCTGGACACGAAAAAAGACAAAAGGGGAAAAAAAACGGTACGGGGGCAACACTGAGGGTTGCGATCCGTTGCTGGACACGAAAAAAGACAAAAAGGGGAAAATAAATAAATAAATAAATATAAATGGATGTAGGAAACTATGGGCCTATTTTCCATGTTTCTTAACTTTTCCTTCACACATTACTTGTCTTTTTCCTCTGTGTTCTAGAGAATTCTTCAGCTTGCTTTTCTCAGCTCACTAATACACGGTCCCGCTGAGGCCATCCTATTCCTTGGCCCACCTATTCAGTATTTTTTATTTCAACACCCCAATTTGTTAAATTTATCAAGAAATCTAGTTGACTTTTGGAAAGCGTCTTTTTAAGCTTATTTTTACTTTTTCATAATGAACACAGTTTTGTCATTCATTTTCTCTGAATATATAAATAATATGTTCTTGTAAAATTTTGAGTAATACATACAATAATACGGAAGAAAGCAAAAATCATCTGGGAGTTCACTTCCCCAGATTCTTTTTTTAAAGAGCGAAACCTCCTTTCCTTTCTGAAGACAGTTCTGATGCCGTTTTTAAACATCCTGTGTGTTCCGGAAGCTCCTGCTTCCTCGCGTGTGAGCGCAGGCTAAACAGCTGTAACAAACACACCCCAAACAGAGCTGCTCAGGCCAATTGGCAGCTTATTACCTCTGGCCTGCCTGAGGCAAGTGCTGGGGTTGGGGGGTGGCACTGCACAGCCTTCAGGGTCCCAGTGCTAATGGCTGCTCTGCCAGCTCCAACATGTGGCTTCCACAGTCACTCTGATTGTCCCCACTCCAGGAACAGGAAAGGGGGACCACAGAAGGCCCACGAGAGGGTTACGTGGGCCTGAAATCAGCACACATCGCTTCTGCTACATTGTTGGACACAACCAGTTATCCGGCCACACCTGTTGCAAGGGGACCTGGGAATGTAGCATAGCCAAGGGCCTGGTGGCGGACAGCTAGCTCTCCCAGTCTACCCTCCTGCCTCCAGATATCCGAGAGCACCCACCTTTCCTCCCACATGCAGAGAGGACCCAGCCCCACCCCTGGCATCCCTGGAAAATGGGGAGCCTTTTGCTAGGCCAGATGTGTGTCTTCTGGTCCAACTGACAGCTTATCGATAAGCTTATCAAGTCACCTGCTCCCCTCCCCTGCTATCCGACCCTCGATCTGATCTCTGCTGCAGGCTCCCTACTCTCCTTTGACTGAGCTGTCTTAATGGCAGGCCTCGAGCAACTACATTCTTTCCTCCTGCTGTTTGAGGTGTGACAGTGGCTCTCCCCACCTGGGAGTCTCAAATTTCTGGGGTAGCTCTGATAGCAAACAGCCCTACAGTAGAGCTGCAAGGAGGGGCTGGCACCCACTCACAACCTCCCTTGTCCTGCCTCTTCCCGTGTCCCCAGCGCGTGCACACCAAGGGGAACACGCCATTATTCCCAGCTCACCACATGGGTTCCCTGTCCCGCACAGTCCTACCACTGAGCCGCTGCCACATATCTGAGGGTTCTGCCGCACCAGCATGCTGTGAGCCATCTTCAGGATTAGTGAGGGCAGGTGCATCAGTCAGCTGCTGCCACAACCCTGCTACATAACAAACCGCCCAAAAGTTCAGTGAGCATCTGGCCGGCTCTCCTCTTCCATGGGCACATTTTTCTCATAGTGGGTCCCTGGAGTGCAAGAGGATGTTCCAAGCCCCGGCCCACCTAACATCTGCTAACATCCCACGGACCAGAGCAGGTCACCCTGCCAAGCCTTAAGTCAAGGGGAGGGAGAGTATCCACCACCCACCCAGAGGCCATGGCAAGGAGGTGGATGTAAAATTCTGCCAGGGGTGGTGGCAAAGACCTGGGAGCACGTGCGTAACCTAAGATAAATTGATATGCTAATTGTAAAAGTTAGGTTGCTCTAACGTGTAGACTCCGGTGGAACAGCCCAGCTACAGAGAAGTCGATCTCCCTCTGGAGAACTCCTGCAAGGCTGCCAGTGTGACAGTGGCCTCGACTCCTGCAGTCACTCAGGGCCCCAGGTTGGGTGATTCTGCCGTCCTCTACATGGAGCTTCCAATTCACTCTGGCTGTCGTATTCGGGGCCACAGGAGGGGGAAAGAGCATGGAGGGCGGTTTGGGCCTGGCATAGGAGAGGCACAGGTCACTGCCACTCACACTCCCCGGAGAGGAGCTGGTCACGCGGCCACACGCCTTGCAGGAAAACCTGGGAGGCTCAGCTCCACTTGTGTGTCAGTTCTCCAGTTTGTGGGACTTGGTGCTTCTCTTGGGGTTGGTGACTCCAGCTTTGTGCTCCTCTCTGTGAGGGTCCTTGTTTGCTCATCAGCAAGTGGTCAGCTGCCCGGAGACTGTGTGCAGGGCCCAGTAGGCTGTGGGGGGCAGGGGGACATGGGACTCCCTGCACCTTCCAGCTGTTACTTGCCAATGGGATCTGTTCTGTGTTCACTGCCTGCTGCTGAGCACAGCCAGGGACGGGCTGGTCCCCCACAGATACCCCCACCCATCACCCTCAGCTCAGAGGCGCTGCTGTCCCTGAGCACTCTCCCAGAGCCCTCTTCTGCTGCGAGCAGTTCTTTTCTTTGTGCTGGGAGGCTGTGGTTTCTCCCCTGTCTCTCCAGGACTCCTTGGGATTTCTGGTCCATCCAGGGCACCTCTTCTCTTGTTCTCCTGGTTATAATGCTTAATCCCTGGCAGCTGCATCTTCAAGGCCATATTGATTGGGGTCTGTCGGCTGCAACCAGGGCCGGGTGAGGTCAGGCTGCTGGGAGGTGCTGCCCGCACCAGGGATCCTGTTGGCCTCCTGGGGGACAGGCATGTGCCTAGCTCAGGACGCTGGGACCCTCAGAATGAAGAACCCCAAAGTGAAGCCTCAGAAGTCACTGTCCAGTGGCTTTAGCAACAAGAAGAGGCATGGCAATTTTGGTGACAACAGTGCCTGGATGGGGGGGGGGGGCTGA